AGGAGTGACAGTGAAAAGGAAGGAACGACTTGAGAATGGTCCAGGACGGACCGAAACGTCGTCGTCCCTTCACCTTCTAGTGTGTTACAATCGACTTGAGAATGGTCCAGGACGGACCGAAACGTCGTCGGCCCTTCACCTTCTAGTGTGTTACAATCGACTTGAAAATGGCCCAGGACGGACCGAAACGTCGTCGGCCCTTCACCTTCTAGTGTGTTACAATCGACTTGAGAATGGTCCAGGACGGACCGAAACGTCGTCGTCCCTTCACCTTCTAGTGTGTTACAATCGACTTGAGAATGGTCCAGGACGGACCGAAACGTCGTCGTCCCTTCACCTTCTAGTGTGTTACAATCGACTTGAGAATGGTCCAGGACGGACCGAAACGTCGTCGTCCCTTCACCATCTAGTGTGTGGTCTGGTCAACATACTTTAGCCCCGTTATTGTGACTCATCGCCTACACAAAACAAGTAGAGATGATAAGAGATAATGAGAAGAGGGTCAGATAAAAGGGATAAGATGGTCGTAGATAGAAGGACGAAAGGAAAAGGAGAAAGGAATTAAGAAAGATTACTTGATTACAAACGGCGCATGGCAAAGAAGGAATAGAGAGAAACAGAAAGAGAAGCAAAGCGAAAAATGCAACGGACAGGATATACAATACGGACTATACAATACAATAGATATACAATACAGATAAGCAACAGTAGAAAGAAGAGGAGATAGGGAAAATAGATAAGAAAAGCGGAGAAAGAGAGAAAATGAAAGGGCAAAGAGCGCTTAGGTGAACAATTACCTATAGAATAATGATGAAAGCAGAATGGTGAGGCGAGTATAATGAACAAAGGTAATGATTTAACAATGATTAATGACCTCCATTACTTCACTACAACAAAGAACGAGGCTGTAGGGATCTCTCAATGTATAGGGACATTATCCCTTGTTAAAGCCGTTTGCAAACAGGTAGTTAGGCAGTTACGCTTTATTGGACGCTAGAGTTCTTGCAGTCACCGCCGAAACGACCTTGTTAAACACTCTAAAATATTGATAACAAGCCAAATTTGATACAGTTAATTATATCAAACCTTAGGAGAGATATTTTGTATCGATTATCTAAAGCAAAAATCTGCTTTATAATATTGTATTGATACAATTTATTATTTTTAATAATATTTTTTTCTCAAGGGGGGAAAATAAGGAGAAAGAGCCAAGTCATTATGACTATATAGGACTGGGAAGGGGTTAGGATAAGGATTAGGGATGGGCCGGGGGAAAGGAATGGTGCCCAATCACTTGGACAGTCGGGGATTGAACGCCGACCTGCATGAAGCGAGACCGTCGCTCTACCGTCCAGCCCAAGTGGTTGGGTGACAGGTGCTGGAGAACCTGGAAGTTCTACATGTACAAAACCAATCCTAACATAAGAGTTAAACGAGCATTTCGCACTAGTGCTAACAACCCATTATCATATATAATCACACACAGGAGCGTATGTTCCAGATTGAATGATATGGCAATCATCATTGATGATATGATATCATCTGTAGCGTATTATCATGGATGTAATAAGCTTTAGCAGATGTACTGGAGTAAGCAGCTGTGAAAGGGTTGACTCAGGTACATTGTGAACAGCATACATACAGAATACAATATACACGAGGCTAGAAGATACAAGCAACAGTGATGGCGGTTTCAAGAATCTTGAAACGGTGATGTCTTTTGAAACCGTGAAATGTGATGTCTTTTGAAACCGTGAAATGTGATGTCTTTTGAAACCGTGAAATGTGATGTCTTTTGAAACCGTGAAATGTGATGTCTTTTGAAACCGTGAAATGTGATGTCTTTTGAAACCGTGAAATGTGATGTCTTTTGAAACCGTGAAATGTGATGTCTTTTGAAACCGTGAAATGTGATGTCCTTTGAAACCGTGAAATGTGATGTCTTTTGAAACCGTGAAATGTGATGTCTTTTGAAACCGTGAAATGTGATGTCTTTTGAAACCGTGAAATGTGATGTCTTTTGAAACCGTGAAATGTGATGTCTTTTGAAACCGTGAAATGTGATGTCTTTTGAAACCGTGAAATGTGATGTCTTTTGAAACCGTGAAATGTGATGTCTTTTGAAACCGTGAAATGTGATGTCTTTTGAAACCGTGAAATGTGATGTCTTTTAAAACTCTCGCTAAGAACCTCTCTTTTTCCCTTTCCTTCAGACATAACAATAAATAATAAGTCAACATATATATATATTAAGGGTCAACTGACTATTAAGAGGCGAGAGCCAGGAGCTGGAGCCTTGTCCCCGCGAAGAATGTTAGTCTAGTACCCACACATACTTCTACATATACGGATAGGTAAGTTCTCACACATCTCTAAACACACACACACACACACACACACACACACACACACACACACACACACACACACACACACACACACACACACACACACACACACACTCACACACACACACACACAATCAACTGCATTGTTTTCGCATTACAAATCTGTTCCCGGAATAGAAGTCAATTTGATATCTTATTCAGCACGCGGATAACAGACCGTTCAAGCTATCGACAGTGTAGAGAGAGAGAGAGAGAGAGAGAGAGAGAGAGAGAGAGAGAGAGAGAGAGAGAGAGAGAGAGAGAGAGAGAGAGAGAGAGAGAGAGAGAGAGAGACAGACAGAGAGACAGAGAGAGAGACAGAGAGAGAGACAGAGAGAGAGAGAGAGAGAGAGAGAGAGAGAGAGAGAGAGAGAGAGAGAGAGAGAGAGAGAGAGAGAGAGAGAGAGAGAGAGAGAGAGAGAGAGAGAGAGAGAGAGAGAGAGAGAGAGAGAGAGAGAGAGAGAGAGAGAGAGAGAGAGAGAGAGAGAGAGAGAGAGAGAGAGAGAGAGAGAGAGAGAGAGAGAGAGAGAAACTGACTTACACCACATCAATCAAAATCATCATACAATTACGAGGAAATTGAACCATAACTTTGCAAACACATTTGATATTCAGATACAACCTCTTTATTCTACACCACACACACCTCTCTCACTCGTTACGAGGTGATGTTTAGCACCTACAGGGTGCCAGGAGCCATGTTTGGCACCTCCCGGCTCCGTCAAGCTGAGTAATTACCTAAGTGTAGTTACAGGATGAGAGCCACGCTCGTGGTGTCCCGTCTTCCCAGCACTCTTTGTCATATAACGCTTTGAAACTACCGTCTGTGTGTGTGTGTGTGTGTGTGTGTGTGTGTGTGTGTGTGTGTGTGTGTGTGTGTGTGTGTGTGTGTGTGTGTGTGTGTGTGTGTGTGTGTGTGTAATTACCTAAGTGTAGTTACAGGATGAGAGCCACGCTCGTGGTGTCCCGTCTTCCCAGCACTCTTTGTCATATAACGCTTTGAAACTACCGTCTGTGTGTGTGTGTGTGTGTGTGTGTGTGTGTGTGTGTGTGTGTGTGTGTGTGTGTGTAATTACCTAAGTGTAGTTACAGGATGAGAGCCACGCTCGTGGTGTCCCGTCTTCCCAGCACTCTTTGTCATATAACGCTTTGAAACAACTGACGGTCTTGGCCTCCACCACCTTCTTTCTCACTTAGCTGTTCCAATCGTCTGCCACTCTGTTTGCGTAACAGAGTGGTTGTTTGAGTGTGTTTGAGTTGTTTCAGTGTGTTTGAGTTGTTTGACTTGTTTGAGTGTGTTAGAGTTGTTTGAGTGTGTTTGACTTGTTTGAGTGTGTTTGACTTGTTTGAGTGTGTTAGAGTTGTTTGAGTGTGTTTGACTTGTTTGAGTGTGTTTGAGTTGTTTGAGTGTGTTTGACTTGTTTGAGTGTGTTTGACTTGTTTGAGTGTGTTTGACTTGTTTGAGTGTGTTTGACTTGTTTGAGTGTGTTTGACTTGTTTGAGTGTGTTTGACTTGTTTGAGTGTCAGGAGCCACATTAGGGAGCTCCGCTACGCGGTGTGCCACTGAAGTTAAGTAACGCAGCAACTGTTTCCCTGAAATCTTATTGAGTAACGGAGGATACAGCTGAACACATGTCGGACACTTGTTACCGGTTAGACAGTTGGGTTGTAAGGCAGTGCAGTAGGCGGGTGGACAGAGGAAGCAGAAGCACAAGGAGGAAGGAAAATAGAGAGGTTATCTTGATATTCTTGAGGTTATCTTGAGGTTATCTTGAGATGATTTCGGGGCTTTTTAGTGTCCCCGCGGCCCGGTCCTCGACCAGGCCTCCACCCCCAGGAAGCAGCCCGTGACAGCTGACTAACACCCTGGTACCTATTTACTGCTAAGTAACAGGGGCATAGGGTGGAAGAATACCCATCGTTTCTCGCCGGCGTCCGGGATCGAACCCGGGACCACAGGATCACGCGTCCAGTATTCTGTCCGCTCAGCCACCGGCTCCCAGTAGGGTATTATCGCGGCATTAACGACCCTCGAGAAGTTAAAAGGCTTTAAGCACAACGCAAAACCAAATTAACTCTAGAAATGAAAACACCATATTGGAAACAGCCGATTATATGCCTCTGTAACCCTGTCCCCGCACGGGATGGGTATGGGGTGCATAATGAAGAACAAAACAGATTTGGAAGTAGACCTTAAGATAAGGTCAACGTTTCTGCTCTACTCAGCTTAAGACCTGTGAATTGCAATTCATCATCACACACTATCGACTTTAAGATCAAAGAACCGTGTTGGCATGTTGTTATAGGTTAAGCTACTTGGAACAAGTTGCAAGTAGCACGGGCTATGGTGATCCCGTAACTGACCTGACACAGGAGCGGTGCTGTGCGTGTTGGCAGGAGCTATACCGTGATATATCACCGCCTCTCCTCAGGAACATGATACTAACACAGGCAATAAAGCAACAGTTTTAATAGTGAATCATCTTATATGAATTAATAAAGTTCTATTTAGTACATTATATTTAGTGTCATAGCATTGCTAAGCTTTTTTACTTGTCATTACTTGTAAATTATCTCAAAAGCACATAAGAAATAATAATGTTGCATAGAGAATATAAATAAAATAGTGAAACTTAAGGGAGATCTTGAGGTTATCTTAAGATGATTTCAGGGCTTAGCGTCCCCACGGCCCGGTCCTCGACCAGGCCTCCTTTTGGTTACTATAACATAAAGGGCGAATAAAGATGTTTGATGAAAAGACATTTGAAAACCCAAATAGAAACTTGCCGCCACGAGCGGTGAAGAGAACAGTGGACTAACCACCACCTTCTTCCCCCGCAGGTGAAGATCTGGTTCCAAAATCGTCGGTCAAAGTACAAGAAGATGATGAAAGCGATGCAGTCTGGAGGGGGCGGAGCCACCCAGGGGGCGCCTGTGGGTCCTGGCTCCCCTCTCAGTTCCTCTCCCCTCTCTACCACCTCTCCCCTACAGCCCTACACCACCCCTACCCCACTCAGCCCCCCACCACAGACACAGTCACCAAATCAGACCCCACTCTCAAGGCCCTCGCTTGCCCAACCGCCTCCACTCACAGCTTTGGTGCCAATTACGCACCCCAGTTCACATCCACCCACTGGGTCTCTCCCCATGGGTCACCCCCACTCTGGCCAGCACCCTGCACCCCAACTCCCCTGCCCTCCCCTTCTCTCTCTCCCCCAGCCCCCACTCCTACACCACCCACCTCATTCAGCTTCCCCTCTTTCTCACCCCCCACAGCACCCCCACCACCTGCCCCCGCACGCCCACGGCCCACCCCAGCACCCGCCCACGCCCACCAGCCAGTCGCACGACAATCATGGGTCGCCCCACCTGTGTCCCCCAGGGCCGCCGTGTCCGCCCCAGCACCATATGAACCACCCACCCCACGGGGGATACATGCCGCCCACCTCCATAGCACCGCCCGTGTCCTCGGCTGACCACATGTCCTTGCCGCCCACCGCCTCGTCGCCAGGCCTGGCCGCCCACCACTGGGACATGAAGCCGCCCGTGTCGGCGCCCTACATGTACTCCTGGTACGCCCCGGACCAACAGCATCTCCTCACTTAAGTCACTCATCTTAATATGCTGGCAACCCGGGCCAGGGGCCACCATCAACTACAGGGCCAAGGGGGCCCTCAGCGGCCCACCTACGGCCCTCTGTGTGGCCCTCTGGTGGCCCGCGGCGTGACAGCCGGGACCAAAGATGAAAAAAGCAACCCAAGAGAGCATCCCAAAGATTTTGTGCAATATACTCGCCATATTGGCGACAATTTGCAGAAACTTTCCAGAAGCCATTCTAGAAGACCTGACTTGTCTTATCAAACTTGGAAGAGTCAGACCCTGAGAACCAGGAGAGGACCTGGTCTATGAGACCAAGTATGATGAGCCACACCTGCTCTCAGCACATGTGGGCCGTCAGGTGTGACTGTGAGCGCCACATCACAGGACCAAGTGCCAAGAGTGAGGATTAAAAACAAACGAGGATCAGATGCGAACTGTCGACCATGGAAGTCGCGTTTCCAACTCTGTGTGCTCTGCTATCTAGAGGATCTGGCCTCTGTAGTTTAACAGTGTTTCACTGTGACTTGACTTGGAAAGAAAAGAGCCACAGTGTTACATGGCTACTTGGACCTAGCCACAGTGTTTTAAAGTGATCAGGTTTGCCAAGTAACTCCAGTACGTAATTACTGGATTATCAGGAAGATTAACAGCATTTTATCATTTTGATATGCATTTCCAGCTGTGAGGAAAGGGGTGGGGGCTTCCTGGAACTCATCTAGATCGGGTTTACTCCTGTCGCAGGAACCCAAATTTGAGCTAGTTGGGTTCCAGCTCAAACGTTGGGTTCCAAATGTCTTCAGAGACGCTTGTTAAACAGCACCAAGTCTCGCAAGCCCACTGTTGGTATTCTTGGAACTGTCGACAATACCTGAGGTGTATATGACAACGATACAAGTCCCATGTGTAGCCAGCACTCGGTATGTGAGTGAAACAGACCCCACACATGTGGCTGCAGTACAAGTTGTTGTTGTTAAAAATTCGCTACCTGCAACAAAAAGTTGCAAGTAGCACGGGCTATGGTGATCCCGTAGATAGTTATGTAAGGGGGTACTTGAGGTCATGTTTACAATCAGTAGAGACCTCGTCCGGTGCAGTAGACGACAATATCAGCCGTCGTTAGATTTGGTAATACGGACACACTTGCTACAGACGTCGACCAGGTTACACACTAGTCGACTAGGGCACACACTAGTCGACCAGGTTACACAGTCTCCGACCAGGACGCACTTGGAACAGTCGCCGACCAGGACACACTTGGAACAGTCGCCGACCAGGACACACTTGGAACAGTCGCCGACCAAGACGCACTTGGAACAGTCGCCGACCAAGACGCACTTGGAACAGTCGCCGACCAAGACGCACTTGGAACAGTCGCCGACCAAGACGCACTTGGAACAGTCGCCGACCAAGACGCACTTGGAACAGTCGCCGACCAGGACGCACTTGGAACAGTCGCCGACCAGGACGCACTTGGAACAGTCGCCGACCAGGACGCACTTGGAACAGTCGCCGACCAGGACGCACTTGGAACAGTCGCCGACCAGGACGCACTTGGAACAGTCGCCGACCAAGACGCACTTGGAACGATTGCCGACCAGGACACACTTGGAACAGTCGCCGACCAGGACACACTTGGAACAGTCGCCGACCAGGACACACTTGGAACAGTCGCCGACCAGGACACACTTGGAACAGTCGCCGACCAGGACACAGATAGCACCACATATGCCAAACACCTGTACAGCGATAACGACAGCTATCACTAATGACTATAGTACACAGTACATATAGCACTAATGACTATAGTACACAGTACATATAGCACTAATGACTATAGTACACTGTACATATAGCTGCACATATCCCTCTGACTCACCTCTATTATTTACATATTGTTGTACATACCCAAACGACTCTACTGTCTTCACCTTGCACTGTACAAAGCTGTGTAAAGTAACTTATAAAATATTTTTTGATGTAAAGTGTGTGTGTCGATGTTCCACTTACAATGTAATAAATGTCAGCTAAATGTAATTTGTTTTACCTATACCTTTTATTATTTCTGAAGGAACTTTGAGAGTGTAAAGTGTGTTAACCATTTGTGCTCGAAGGTCTTAGACTTATAATCAAAAAGTGTCTTTAGTAGACAAGGAGCCGGTCGGCCGAGCAGACAGCACACTGGACTTGTGATCCTGTGGTCCTGGGTTCGATCCCAGGCGCCGGCGAGAAACAATGGGCAGAGTTTCTTTCACCCTATGCCCCTGTTACCTAGCAGTAAAATAGGTACCTGGGTGTTAGTCAGCTGTCACGGGCTGCTTCCTGGGGGTGGAGGCCTGGTCGAGGACCGGGCCGCGGGGGACACTAAAGCCCCGAAATCATCTCAAGATAACCTCTCCACTGCAATCGTCTAAGATCAGTGCCTGAGGCATACTTGGAGCATCTGCATCTTTTATCATGATGTTGGATGGTTGTGTAGCTTTCGTCTTATCTAGTACCTCTAGGTAGTAGTGTAGGTACCTCACTATCTCTGCTGTTACTTCAAGACTCGCTTGACTATCATCTAAGATTACCTCAGTTCTTACTACTGAGTCGTAAGTAGCCATGGAAGCTTGGATTTTGGTTAATTACTCGTAATTTTTCTTGTAATTTTTCGTGTGTTCTCTCATCCTTGTGTGTGTGTGTGTGTGTGTGTGTGTGTGTGTGTGTGTGTGTGTGTGTGTGTGTGTGTGTGTGTGTGTGTGTGTGTGTGTGTGTGTGTGTATGTGTGTGTGTGTGTATGTGTGTGTGTGTGTGTGTGTGTGTGTGTGTATGTGTGTGTGTGTGTGTGTGTGTGTGTGTGTGTGTGTGTGTGTGTGTGTGTGTGTATGTGTGTGTGTATGTGTGTGTGTGTGTGTGTGTGTGTTATTAAGGTTATTCAAAAACACATTTTCATATATAAGAGTTATGTAAGAATAAGATCAACTATAATACATAGACACTGAAGCACTTCAGTAATGCGGGGGTACTGAAGCAAGCCAGTCTTATCCTGCCCCGGGCATCGCCGGGTACGTAAGAAAGATAATAATTGTCTTAATTCATGCACAGCTAATTACAATTTACTTAATTTTCAATAAGGTCTTAACATAATTAGTTTAGTCTTTAAATTACACGCACAAAACATTGTACAAGATGAAGAGTGGTGAGATATCACTGATGGAGTCCCACAGGGCTTTGTCTATGTATTAATCGTATATGCAAGTACGCTTTCTCATATATGCAAGTACGCTTTCTCATATATGCAAGTACGCTTTCTCATATATGCAAGTACGCTTTCTCATATATGCAAGTACGCTTTCTCATATATGCAAGTACGCTTTCTCATATATGCAAGTACGCTTTCTCATATATGCAAGTACGCTTTCTCATATATGCAAGTACGCTTTCTCATATATGCAAGTACGCTTTCTCATATATGCAAGTACGCTTTCTCATATATGCAAGTACGCTTTCTCATATATGCAAGTACGCTTTCTCATATATGCAAGTACGCTTTCTCATATATGCAAGTATGCTTTCTCATATATGCAAGTACGCTTTCTCATATATGCAAGTACGCTTTCTCATATATGCAAGTACGCTTTCTCATATATGCAAGTACGCTTTCTCATATATGCAAGTACGCTTTCTCATATATGCAAGTACGCTTTCTCATATATGCAAGTACGCTTTCTCATATATGCAAGTACGCTTTCTCATATATGCAAGTATGCTTTCTCATATATGCAAGTACGCTTTCTCATATATGCAAGTACGCTTTCTCATATATGCAAGTACGCTTTCTCATATATGCAAGTACGCTTTCTCATATATGCAAGTATGCTTTCTCATATATGCAAGTACGCTTTCTCATATATGCAAGTACGCTTTCTCATATATGCAAGTACGCTTTCTCATACATGCAAGTACGCTTTCTCATATATGCAAGTACGCTTTCTCATATATGCAAGTACGCTTTCTCATATATGCAAGTACGCTTTCTCATATATGCAAGTACGCTTTCTCATATATGCAAGTACGCTTTCTCATATATGCAAGTACGCTTTCTCATATATGCAAGTATGCTTTCTCATATATGCAAGTACGCTTTCTCATATATGCAAGTATGCTTTCTCATATATGCAAGTACGCTTTCTCATATATGCAAGTACGCTTTCTCATATATGCAAGTACGCTTTCTCATATATGCAAGTACGCTTTCTCATATATGCAAGTACGCTTTCTCATATATGCAAGTATGGAGAACGATTGACAGCCCGACCTTATAGACATGGAAATATATCTTTAATTATGCATTAAAACACTCTCCACGAGACGAGGCTTCGAACGAGCTTTTCTTGAAGGGAAGGGAACTTACAGGATAAAGCAGCAAGCCATTACGACTATATAGCACTGGGAAGGGGTCAGGATATAAGGATTTGGGATGGGACGGAGGGAAAGGAATGGTGCCCCAACCACTTGTGGACAGTCGGAGATTGAACTTTGTTCGAAGAGCACCTCCGTAGATGCTTCACCCAAGCACTGTATATGCAAGCACTAGTCAACACAACTAAGTCTATCCTAGGCTAAACTTTACACATAATTAAAATATGTTAATTTTAAATCATATTTAAGAAAATGCCATTTTCATGATTGCACGATAAAGTTACCTATTGCGGCTTTTGGGATGGATACAGCACATATAGCAAGCTTGACAAAGACCTTTTGTGCCCTCTGTAATGTTTTTTTTTGCGCTAGCGCTCACAGGACGAGTATGGGGTGCACAATAAACTAGCCACCTCGACAATTCAAATTCTAGTTTAACATCTTCAGGCCGGTATGGCCCAATACTCGGACTCCTGAGAAATGAGTGACTATCTTATCTTGAGGTTAACTTGAGATGATTTCGGGGCTTATTAGTGTCCCCGCGGCCCGGTCCTCGACCAGGCCTCCACCCCCCCGGAAGCAGCCCGTGACAGCTGACTAACACCCAGGTACCTATTTTACTGCTAGGTAACAGGGGCATTGGGTGAAACAAACTCTGCCCATTGTTTCTCGCCGGCGCCTGGGATCGAACCCAGGACCACAGGATCACAAGTCCAGCGTGCTGTCCGCTCGGCCGACCGGCTCGACTATGAGCCAGTTCTTGGACGTTTCTCACTCACCATCTGACTCAAGGAACTGCCTGAATGAGATAAACGCCATCGTGTCCCCGGATGCAATTGCGGGATCACCATAGCCGGTGCTACATGAACACTTTGTTCTGAGTAGCTAAATCTGACACGACAACAACCGGAAGCAAGATCCTCTTGGCCTTGTCTGTGTCTTACCTTAAGACTCAGAACCTTTCAGACCCCTGAACCTTTCAGACCCTGAACCTTTCAGACCCTGAACCTTTCAGACTCTGAACCTTTCAGACTCTGAACCTTTCAGACCCCTGAACCTTTCAGACCCTGAACCTTTCAGACCCTGAACCTTTCAGACCCTGAACCTTTCAGACCCTGAACCTTTCAGACCCCTGAACCTTTCAGACCCTGAACCTTTCAGACCCTGAACCTTTCAGACCCCTGAACCTTTCAGACCCTGAACCTTTCAGACCCTGAACCTTTCAGACCCTGAACCTTTCAGACCCTGAACCTTTCAGACCCCTGAACCTTTCAGACTCTGAACCTTTCAGACCCCTGAACCTTTCAGACCCTGAACCTTTCAGACCCCTGAACCTTTCAGACTGAACCTTTCAGACCCCTGAACCTTTCAGACCCCTGAACCTTTCAGACCCCTGAACCTTTCAGACCCTGAACCTTTCAGACTCTGAACCTTTCAGACCCCTGAACCTTTCAGACCCTGAACCTTTCAGACTCTGAACCTTTCAGACCCTGAACCTTTCAGACTCTGAACCTTTCAGACCCCTGAACCTTTCAGACCCTGAACCTTTCAGACCCTGAACCTTTCAGACTCTGAACCTTTCAGACCCTGAACCTTTCAGACTCAGAACCTTTCAGACCCTGAACCTTTCAGACTCTGAACCTTTCAGACCCTGAACCTTTCAGACCCTGAACCTTTCAGACTCTGAACCTTTCAGACCCTGAACCTTTCAGACTCAGAACCTTTCAGACCCTGAACCTTTCAGACTCTGAACCTTTCAGACTCTGAACCTTTCAGACTCTGAACCTTTCAGACCCTGAACCTTTCAGACTCTGAACCTTTCAGACCCTGAACCTTTCAGACTCTGAACCTTTCAGACCCTGAACCTTTCAGACCCTGAACCTTTCAGACTCTGAACCTTTCAGACCCCTGAACCTTTCAGACCCTGAACCTTTCAGACCCTGAACCTTTCAGACCCTGAACCTTTCAGACTCTGAACCTTTCAGACCCTGAACCTTTCAGACTCTGAACCTTTCAGACCCTGAACCTTTCAGACCCCTGAACCTTTCAGACCCTGAACCTTTCAGACTCTGAACCTTTCAGACTCTGAACCTTTCAGACTCTGAACCTTTCAGACTCAGAACCTTTCAGACCCTGAACCTTTCAGACTCTGAACCTTTCAGACCCTGAACCTTTCAGACTCTGAACCTTTCAGACCCTGAACCTTTCAGACTCTGAACCTTTCAGACCCTGAACCTTTCAGACTCTGAACCTTTCAGACTCTGAACCTTTCAGACTCTGAACCTTTCAGACCCTGAACCTTTCAGACTCTGAACCTTTCAGACCCTGAACCTTTCAGACTCTGAACCTTTCAGACTCTGAACCTTTCAGACTCTGAACCTTTCAGACCCTGAACCTTTCAGACCCTGAACCTTTCAGACCCTGAACCTTTCAGACTCTGAACCTTTCAGACTCTGAACCTTTCAGACTCTGAACCTTTCAGACCCTGAACCTTTCAGACCCTGAACCCTGGCTTCTCTTTCGTGTTTTATCAAGCAAAATGGACCAAATAGCAACTGGCAAACACCTCTGGTAATATTGTACATAACTTAATTATAACATATTACAAATCAAATCAAATTCAGGTAAACAAATCCACAAGGGCCGTGACGAGGATTCGAACCTGCGTCCGGGAGCATCCCAGACACTGCCTTAATCGACTGAGCTACGACAGGGTTAAAAAGAGTTGAAAACCAAATGAACCTTTGTTCATATGATCCATCACGTTATTGTGATCTCGGTATGCAAATTCAGGTATGTTAGCTGTGCATGATATCTTGTTAATCAATGAGATATCCTGGTTTCTCACGTAGTAAGATATCTTATGGCACTTTACTAGGCACGTTAGATAACCTCCCGCCAAACACACACCGAAACTACGACGTTGGTACAACGTTCGGACAAGTTTTAACACCTCCTAACCAGTTATAACAACCAATATAGCAAGTTGTAACAACGTTCTAATACGTCATAAACACGTTAAGCCAAGATGTAACAACTTTATTACAAGTTGTAACAAGCGGAAAATAGAGACAGTTTCGGTTTGTGTTTCCAGGGCTATATATTAGGGTGCTATATGTGTATTTTGTGAGTTACGAAGATGTTATAAAGTGAAGTTTAGATCCTTGGACGTAAGCTAAATGTTATTTTTCTTCTCTCACAGGTGAAGATCTGGTTTCAAAACAAGAGGTCCAAGTGCAAGAAGATTATGAAGACAGTTAACTCAGGCGGGCCGTGTGTGCCTCAGGGTGCCCCGGTAGGGCCCGGGTCTCCTCTCACCTCCTCTCCCATGTCAGTCACCTCTCCTCTACTCACCTATACAACCCCTACCCCTATCAGTCCCCCACCCCAGGCGCTGTCCCCGGCTCAGCCCTATACAACTCTAGCTCCTATCCATCACCCTCGATCCCTACCATCGCCTGGGGCCTGTCCACCGGGGCATCCTTACTGGCAGCAGCAGCATGACTCGCCCCAGCTCCCACCATCCCATTCTATCCCACAGGCATCCCAGCCCGGGTCACCTATCCCACATGTCCAACAGCAACTCCATCACCATCACTCAGCTTCTTCAGACTCCCTTTCACAGTCTTCTCTCCCTAACTATCCTCCCCACACGGCCTCTCCTCACTCCCACCCACAACACCCCCACCCACAGCACCCCCACCACCTGCCCCCGCACGCCCACGGCCCACCCCAGCACCCGCCCACGCCCACCAGCCAGTCGCACGACAATCATGGGTCGCCCCACCTGTGTCCCCCAGGGCCGCCGTGTCCGCCCCAGCACCATATGAACCACCCACCCCACGGGGGATACATGCCGCCCACCTCCATAGCACCGCCCGTGTCCTCGGCTGACCACATGTCCTTGCCGCCCACCGCCTCGTCGCCAGGCCTGGCCGCCCACCACTGGGACATGAAGCCGCCCGTGTCGGCGCCCTACATGTACTCCTGGTACGCCCCGGACCAACAGCATCTCCTCACTTAAGTCACTCATCTTAATATGCTGGCAACCCGGGCCAGGGGCCACCATCAACTACAGGGCCAAGGGGGCCCTCAGCGGCCCACCTACGGCCCTCTGTGTGGCCCTCTGGTGGCCCGCGGCGTGACAGCCGGGACCAAAGATGAAAAAAGCAACCCAAGAGCGCATCCCAAAGATTTTGTGCAATATACTCGCCATATTGGCGATGATATTGTAGAAATTATTACGAGAGCTAAGCCTCAGAGCTGGTTCAAAGTCCCTGGCCATCAAGAGTTGGGTCTGGACCACTACGCCGTAGTCACAATGATGCTGGAAGCTTCCCATAGTCACACGCCGAAGGAACTTCGCCGAACGTCGAGGACAAACAGGAGTCGAGTTTTATCGACAGCGACTCTTTGTTATCCCGATAGGAAAGTGCATTAAGAATACTTCACCGAAGGAAAAGGAACTTAGCGAGCGAGCTGCGAGTCTCACTTCCTTTACCAGGATGTATATATATATATATATATATGACCCTGAAGAGCCGTGGAGGCTGTCGAATTCTGCATCTATGTGAGCAGTCTACTCTGTTAATGTTTCATAATGTCTTACCAAGTCTTAGTATTGTATTCTGACGCGACTGTTCAAGCCGCGGCATTTCAATTTGACCTACCTGACCGCAGTTAAATATTTATATATGTTGTTCTGACGTACACAGTCGCAATATGTTGCTAAAATGTCTATCTGTGAGATATTGCATTATGATCTAATTATCTGAGCAGGTCTCAGATATAATTATTACTGATAAAAGGTTGATTCGCCACATTGTAATGAGAAAGTCGATTTTATATATCGTCAGCTTTCGGGACCTCAAAAGAGAGTAATCTAGAAGGAAAGTCTCAGCTATGGAGCACTTTCTTGGCCATCAACATCAATCAAGATTCCTGAGAGATATCATCAAAAGATGATTCTAATTCAAAGCATCAACATCAACTCTCTCTCTCGCGAATCGCCAACTCTTAAATAGCGATTGAGCACTTAGCCGCGCTGGTGAAAGTCTTCAAGCATTTACATACAAGCAGGAAAAATATGTAGTTTGCGCATCTATAAAAATCCCACATGAAGACTTTATTCTAATTAAAAAAATGGATAGTCAAAAAACATCTTCACTTGCTTGACGCGTTGAAACCTTTCCTGTGGAATATGTATTGCTATTAAACAAGATAGTTACAAAAAAAGATTAAAAGCCAAAAAAAATAATTCAACATCTGTTAAAAATAGTAAGATTTATCTGTGATTGAAACTTACCCAAAGAACTAATTACGTTGTGTGTGGGTTTGGGGCGGCCGGATTCAGGCTTATGTCAACAGTCTACCTAATTAAGGTCTGGAAATGGGCAACCAGTCGTTAGTAATTACGGTCAGTGTACATTTTGTACAGTCTCTGGGTAGTGTACATTTTGTACAGTCGTCGACCAGTACACAACAGTCGTCGACCAGTACACACAAGTCGTCGACCAGTACACACACAACAGTCGACCAGTACACACACAAGTCGTCGACCAGTACACAACAGTCGTCGACCAGTACACAACAGTCGTCGACCAGTACACACAAGTCGTCGACCATTACACACACAACAGTCGACCAGTACACACACAAGTCGTCGACCAGTACACAACAGTCGTCGACCAGTACACACAACAGTCGACCAGTACACACACAAGTCGTCGACCAGGACACATCAGTCGTCGACCAGTACACACACAAGTCGTCGACCAGGACACAACAGTCGTCGACCAGTACACAGACAGCACTACAAGAAAGCCAAATTACATTAAAATAGTAATAATAGATTATCACTATTGACTGCAGGTGTACTCTATTCGGCTACATTTCTCGCTCTGAATCTCTCTCTATCTCTTAATCATTATCTCTCTATCTCTCTGTCTCCCTCCCTCACACGCCCTTTCCCCTATCTATCCTTTCTCTTTCCCTCTCTCTCTCTCTGTCTCCCTCCCTCACACGCCCCTTTCCCCTATCTATCCTTTCTCTTTCCCTCTCTCTCTCTCTGTCTCCCTCCCTCACACGCCCTTTCCCCTATCTATCCTTTCTCTTTCCCTCTCTCTCTCTCTGTCTCCCTCCCTCACACGCCCTTTCCCCTATCTATCCTTTCTCTTTCCCCCTCTCTCTCTCTGTCTCCCTCCCTCACACGCCCTTTCCCCTATCTATCCTTTCTCTTTCCCTCTCTCTCTCTCTCTTACTCCCTCCTCTCTTTCTCTTTCGGGTTTTCCAGTGTATTGTATTATTTTCCATATCATGTGTCTTATATTTCATGACTGGTTTAGTAATGTTGGTATTTTTTTATTTAATAAATGTTATTTTAAAATTGAATCTGATATTTGCTTATCCCCCAGTCAGCTGAAGTGTAATGTTCGCGACATTCAAGATTAGCACTGCCACGCGCACGCGCACACTTACATGCAAATAAACATCTATACCATTTAAAAACAGCAATACCTAAAACCCTTTGGTGAAATTAAATAATAACTTATGAGAGATTTATTAAAATTGGATAAAAAAGTCTCTTAGCCTCAGAGAAGAGAAGAAAAGGCACTCGAAGAGGCTTTATATCCTGCCACGTGTGTTCCTGTATATTATTTTCTACTGCTTCAATATTATTTTTTCCAATTAATATACAAAAAAAAGGATTATTTAAAAAAAATTAATATATATATAGGCTGCAGAATTCTTCGAAAGCCTCTGGTGTCTGCTGGAAGAAAGGTTATAGAGGGACAGTTACCCCTTTGGATTGACTCACAAAGGTGTTAGAAATGTAAGTTGGCTGCCCTTTGGTCTCTTGATATCTCGACGAGTCTAGAACCCAAATCCTCGAGGAAGTTTTAGGCATATTTTGTTAATAGAAACTCATTGTCTCACTTCTACCAGAACAAAATTATGTTGTGGGATCCAAGTACTTATTGGTTGAAGTAAATCCGTGTACTTATGTGTTCTGGTAATTTCTCTGCTGGTGGTAAATCCATCTGCTTGACTAGTGCTAAAGCTGCGGTAGATGTGTCAGGGTTGATACATATGTGTAGTCCCACATCTGTTGCTTAGTGTTCTTCCACACCTGTTCTCTCATAACACTGGGGTGAACCTCTTCATTATATCACTTGAAATTGAAATTGAAAATTGAAATTGAAATAAGTTTATTGAGGTAAAATACACACAAAGGGATGAGGTAGCTCAAGCTATTCTCACCCCGTTCAGTACATCGTGTTAATACATAGACACACATTATATCACTTGGCTGTGTTGTGTGAGCCATAGCCTCAGGTCTCTGTAATTCAGTTTCCTTCTTTGTAAATACACAGGGTTACCTAGAGGTTACCTTGAGGTGCTTCCGGGGCTTAGCGTCCCCGCGGCCCGGTCGTCGACCAGGCCTCCTGGTTGCCGGACTGATCAACCAGGCTGTTGGACGCGGCTGCTCGCAGCCTGACGCAGGGTGGATTGAGTACTGTAATATGAAGGTGATGTGGTTCAAGGCATGCTTGTTCCAGACATAACGATCGTCAAAAGGAAATTTACAGCATGGGAAGTACAAGAATAATCAAGGGTTTCAACCCAGAACCTTACTGAGTTCTCTGGAAGGTTCTGAAGGCCCCCAAACCGGTGCCCAAGCGGTTAAGCCAGGTGTCTGGGAATCACCAGGTCGCCAGTTCAAGTCTCTTGATGACTGATCTCTTGAGATGAGAGATCCATGATTTCTTGAGACTGCTGGATGCCTACTACTCACCTAATTGTGCTTGCGGGATTGAGCTTCCGTTCATTCGTCCCGACTCTAACCCGTCAATCGAACAATGTACATGAACAAATCCACAAGGGCCGTGATGAGGATTCGAACCTGCGTCCGGGAGCATCCCAGACACTGCTTTAATCGACTGAGCTACGACATGGTCAAAAGGGTAACCCTGTCGTAGCTCAGTCGATTAAGACAGCGTCTGGGATGCTCCCGGACGCAGGTTCGAATCCTCGTCACGGCCCTTGTGGATTTGTTCATTTGATGCATCACGTTAGTGTGATCTCTGTGTGTGAAACAATGTACATATTCACTGTGTATCAATCAACCGGTTTACAGATTCGACCCGTTGTGTATGTGCGTACAAAACTTAAATTGCAAGTAGTTTCACAAGCTTATTACTTGCTTAACTAAACGAGCAAATGGGGGTTCAGTTCCGGAACCCATTACGAGCCTCTGTGATCCTATGGGTAGGTTACATAATGGATTAGTAAACTAATTGGCTAGCTAACAGGTGAAGCTAGCAGGAAGGAGAGAGAGAGAGAGAGAGAGAGAGAGAGAGAGAGAGAGAGAGAGAGAGAGAGAGAGAGAGAGAGAGAGAGAGAGAGAGAGAGAGAGAGAGAGAGAGAGAGAGAGAGAGAGAGAGAGAGAGAGAGAGAGAGAGAGAGAGAGAGAGAGAGAGAGAGAGAGAGAGAGAGAGAGAGAGAGAGAGAGAGAGAGAGAGAGAGAGAGAGAGAGAGAGAGAGACAGAGAGAGAGATAGAGAGAGATAGATAGACAGAGAGACAGACAGTCACAGAGACCACACAACAGGTGAAAGACCCAAAGACCCAAAGACTAGGCGTGTGAGTCTGCTCCAAGACGAACCTTAATGTTTTAGATTGAATTTTGTCAAGGAGAATTGAGACACACCTCCTCATCTGTCGCAGCAGTGTCCTGTGTGGGGTCTGACATGGTTTTAACGCGTCTCAAGTACTCCACAATAGGGGATAAGTTGTGATAATTCTGGAGACCATTCACAAGAGAAAATAAGACTGTGGGACCAAGGTGTATACCTGAGAACTCCAAGAGTGACTAGGACATAGGGAAATGTGTTTAACACCTCACCCTGACGGAATTAGACTAGAGTGACAAAAAGGCGATTTACAGTGGAGTAATGTTGACCAGACCACACACTAGAAGGTGAAGGGACGACGACGTTTCGGTCCGTCCTGGACCACAATCGACTTGAGAATGGTCCAGGACGGACCGAAACGTCGTCGGCCCTTCACCTTCTAGTGTGTGGTCTGGTCAACAGTTAAACAATTCTAAGCAGTCAGGGAAGAGACTGTGCAGGCGTTACCAACGGAGGAGCTGTACTAGGACTTATCTAGTTCCTGTAAAATATAAAAGACCTGGGGCCAGATTCACGAAAGCACTTACGCAAGCACTTACGAACGTGTACATCTTTCCTCAATCTTTGACGGCTTTGGTTACATTTATTAAACAGTTTACAAGCATGAAAACTTGCCAATCAACTGTTGTTATAGTTATAAACAGCCTCCTGGTGCTTCGGAGCTCATTAACTGTTTAATAATTGTAAACAAAGTCACCAAAGATTGAGAAAAGATGGACAGGTTTCGTAAGTGCTTGCGTAACTGTTTCGTGAATCTGGCCCCTTCTATTTGATGAGATGATGAAATTACCATCACCAAAATCATCTCAAGATAACCTTGAAGAGGAGATACTACATTTTCTCCTCTCAATGTTAGCTGATGCAAAATTTACGAGAAAAATTTACAATCTTGAAGACTGTAGGAAGCTACAGATGACATGTTTAAACTATAGGCACGGAGGAGTAAGTGGTTACTAGAGTTTAACTCAAGCAAGTGTAAAGTAATGGAACTTGGAGAGGAGTACCTCCTAGAATCAAAGCTGATGGTATCATAAGACCATAAGAATTAAGGGAAACTACAGAAGGTCTATTAGCCCAAACGTGTCAGCTCCTATTTATTTCCTCCCAAACTCATTCATATATATGTCTAACCTACGCTTGAAACAACCAAGTGATCCTACATCTATAATGTTAACAGATAATTTGTTCCACAAATGAACAACCCTGTTTCCAAACTAGTATTTACCCAGGTCCTTCCTAAATTTAAATTTATCCAATATCCATTGTTTCGCATTGACATCTTTACAATCTTGTGTTCCCTTGATAATTTCCTTTAATCCATTTATATACTGGTATTTTAATCGTATCACCCAATACTATTCGTCTTTCTAGAGAATGTAAGTTTAGTTTCTTTAATCTCTCGTCATAACTGAGGTTTCTAACTCCTGGGATTAACCTCTCTGTTAACCTATCTTGAGGTTATCTTGAGATGATTTCTGGGCTTTAGTGTCCCCGCGGCCCAGTCCTCAACCAGGCCTCCACCCCCAGGAAGCAGCCCGTGACAGCTGACTAACACCCAGGTACCTATTTTACTGCTAGGTAACAAGGGCATAGAGTGAAAGAAACTCTGCCCATTGTTTCTCGCCGGCGCCTGAGATCGAACCCAGGACCACAGGATCACAAGTCCAGTGTGCTGTCCGCTCGGCCGACCGGCTCCCGTCATAAGCCTTAAGAAGAAGGAATGTTAATACCTGCTTGTGACATAACGATTAGCTAATGTGGGAATACATCTAACAATGGCATTTAACATACTAACGCGTTCCAACAGATGACTATCTCCCATATCAACAGATGAACCAACTAACATATAACACCTTCCATACCAAAAAGCTCATATTTAATCCCTAACAAATGAGAATTCGAGTTATTGACAGAAAGTAATACGATCCTACATCCAATCAACATATTATCATTTGGCTCGTAACTCGCTATTTCACCCAAATATAAACATCGTAGGTTAGCTAAGTGTCCCCCCAAGACGCGGGCTAACTGCTGTAAGTATCGTAATAGACCAAAACTCATCCGGTGATAAGATATCGTGACATTTTACCCCTACAGGGAATATCGCACCCAACCCTGACAGTGTCTAATATTTACAACTATGTAACCCCGGGATAACACCAGTACAAAATCAGTACAAAATAACCCTTCACAAAATTAATCCCGGGTTGTGTAGTGTTACGATAAAAAAAAGTTCATAATGTAATCGAGCCATTATGTAAACATTGAACAGCTGTTTGCAATGATGGAGCTTATTCAATCTCAGTTAATAGTGTAGTAATCCGATTTACGAGACGCCTGGGTCTAAAAACATATGAAAAGCGTGTTAAAAAGTGTTAGAATTATAGAACACCTTTCGATCCCTCACCGATCATGTTAACTATTGGATGAAATGGGATTAACCGTCTAAACTTGTCTAGAAACACCTTAATTTGGTCCCTATTTGGTAAGGTAATCACTATTAAAACCTGAGTCACTATCATTAATAATACCACTATCACTGTAAAAATCATTTATGTCACCAATCACTGTAAAAATCATTTATATGTCACCAATCACTGTAAAAATCATTTATATGTCACCAATCACTGTAAAAATCATTTATATGTCACCAATCACTGTAAAAATCATTTATATGTCACCAATCACTGTAAAAATCATTTATGTCACCAATCACTGTAAAAATCATTTGTCACCAATCACTGTAAAAATCATTTATATGTCACCAATCACTGTAAAAATCATTTATGTCACCAATCACTGTAAAAATCATTTATGTCATCAATCACTGTAAAAATCATTTATATGTCACCAATCACTGTAAAAATCATTTATATGTCACCAATCACTGTAAAAATCACTATTATGTCACTATCATTGTAATTCTCACTATTATGAGCATGTACAATGAATGTACCAATCATTATCAACATGTCATTATTAGCATTATTACTAATCCCATATATCTGTCATTATTACTAATTATTTATTGACAATACAATTTTAACATTATAATTTATTATTAAATTTCTTTACTACTTTTTATTAGTTAAAATAATTATTAATTACTCTTAATAATTTATTACCATTAGTGCATTTTAAGCATGCATATCAATTATCAATTATCATATAAATTATCAATTATCACCATTGCCATCAGTTTTTTATTTATGGTTTTAATTTTTATAATGTCTCTCTGGGACTTAATGTCTCTCTTGAAGAGCTGATGAGAAGTTAGATTTTACTTAACGAACATGAACTTTATGGCACATGTGTTTAGGGGTCAAGTTAGCACTGTTCAGGAAATTTTTTCGAGTGGTAATTAGTCATTATTTAGGAAGTACTAACTACCTAAGCCATTGTTTCCAATGGGACTAATTGCAAACATCTTAAGAAGGTGTTGAATATGATGACTGGTGTATAAATTCCCTGTTGATATATGACTATGATATATTATATAACTAAGATATGATTACCGTTTACTTAATAATTTAATTACACGGCGCAAATGTGCTAATGACTTAATTTCCGTGTAATTTCTGGAGATAAAATTCTGAACGCCTGTAGACAGCATTTATAACCAGATCTCAGCGCCGATTAATTAGAACATTTAGAACATTCGTCAGTAACCCAAATCAGAGAACATTTTGTTTTAAAACTGAACACCTTCATTCCCTCCACCTCTTTCCGAAACTACTGTTCATTTCTAATGTAAATTAGACAATTATTTAGAGAGGTCTCAGACATATGCAAGTATTAGACAATTATTTAGAGAGGTCTCAGACATATGCAAGTATTAGACAATTATATAGAGAGGTCTCAGACATATGCAAGTATTAGACAATTATTTAGAGAGGTCTCAGACATATTCAAGTATTAGACAATTATTTAGAGAGGTCTCATGACATATGCAAGTATTAGACAATTATTTAGAGAGGTCTCAGACATATGCAAGTATTAGACAATTATTTAGAGAGGTCTCAGACATATGCAAGTATTAGACAATTATTTAGAGAGGTCTCATGACATATGCAAGTATTAGACAATTATTTAGAGAGGTCTCAGACATATGCAAGTATTAGACAATTATATAGAGAGGTCTCAGACATATGCAAGTATTAGACAATTATTTAGAGAGGTCTCAGACATATGCAAGTATTAGACAATTATTTAGAGAGGTCTCAGCCATATTCAAGTGTTCCTTCCAAGGTGAATTAGAGAACATTTAGAGAACATTCACCCATATACAAGTGTTCCCTCCAAGGTAAATTAGAGAACATTTAGAGAACACTCACCTGCATACAGGTGTTCTCCTCTGGGGGTGAAACATAAACAAAACAAAATAGAAACCACACATACAGATGTGAGATAAAGTAGATAATTAAAGAACATTCACTCACATGCAAGTGTTCACCCAAAGATAAATTAGAGAACATTTAGAGAACACTCACCAACCTGCAGCTGTTTCACCAGGAAAAAATGAGTCCCTCGTTCACTCTGGAAAATATATAAATATATAAATAATTTGTATAAACTAAATATATTTTGTAATAAAATAAAAATTCAGATAAACCAATAAACATTACACAATATAAAAATCTTTAGGTAAACAATTATTTTAATTTAAATAAATAATAATGAATGTAACTTGAATTAGTAATAAGGTAATAATATATATATATATATATATATATATATATATATATATATATATATATATATATATATATATATATACATATATAAATATATATATATATATATATATATATATATATATATATATATATATATATATATATATATATATATATATATATATATATATTGGTCGCAGGGGAAGAGACGTGGTAGCATACTCACATCATCTTGAATAGTGTCGTAAGTACTGGAGAGGTCGTAAAGCCCAAATGCTTCAACACCCCTTACAGAGAAACGAAGTTATTTCACCGGTTATTTACTGTGCTGAAGCCTATATATAATGTATCTTGGAGAGCATTTAACCCTCTTGCTTCCAACCTGTAACTTCTTCAGACCTGGAACCTCTTATCTCAAACGTCTTATATCTTACCTTATCATGTTTCTTCCCCTACGATTGTCCCCATCTCAAGGCAACCCGTTCTCGCAAATTCGTAAAGTCAATATTGACTTATTAACTACGTGCATAGGTGATATACTAAACATAATAGATACCCTTAAAAAGATTCATAGAAAACACCGACCTTACCTAACCTTGTTAGTATCTTAAGATAAGCATCTTATTGCTTCGTAATTACAATTATTACTTAACCTATACCTATTATAGGTTAGGTAATAATTGTAATTACGAAGCAATAAGATGCTTATCTTAACATACTAAGTAGGTTAGGTAAGGTCGGTGTTTTCTATGAATCTTTTTAAGGGTATCTATTATGTTAAGTATGTCACCTATGCACATATTTAATAAGTCAATATTGACTTATTAAATTTGCGAGAACGGGTTGCTCAAGGCCCCACCAGGAGGGAACAAGGTCATTCGTCTCCATAATCACCGCCATAGCCTCGGGCTGATCAAAAGCGCTGTCAAAATCAGTCAAAGTCTTTCATCATTTTTACGCTACGTCCTTCACGTGTTGACCGCAGCGTTGGCAACCTTGGCGTCTCTCTACGCAGATGTGGCAATATAATATTCTTTTCCGGTTGCCAACATTGCCTGTTGGCAGTCAATCCCTTGACCGTCGAAGTGGTTGGGCATCATTTCTTTCCCCCCTCGTCCCATCGCAAATCCTTTTCCTGGTCCCTTTCCAAGTGCTATATAGTCGTAATGGCTTGGCGCTTTCCCCCTGATAGTTCCCGCCCTCAAGTTGCCATCTAGCAAACAGACGGTGCTTTAGCGATGCGCGTGGGGACGCAACCCGTTCTCGCACTTTCGTATAGTCAATATTGACTTATTAAATACGTGCATATGTGACATACTAGTTTACCTTGAAAAGCTTCATAGAAAACACCGACCTTACCTAACCTTCTTAGTATGTTAAGATAAGCATCTTATTGCTTCGTAATTACAATTATTACTTAACCTATTATAGGTATAGGTATTATAGGTATATGTATAGGTATTATAGGCAATAAGCATCTTATTGCTTCGTAATTACAATTATTACTTAACCTATTATAGGTATAGGTTAAGTAATAATTGTAATTACGAAGCAATAAGATGCTTATCTTAACATACTAAGAAGGTTAGGTAAGGTCGGTGTTTTCTATGAAGCTTTACAAGGTAAACTAAAATATTCACAATAAATTAGTATGTCACATATGCACTTATTTAATAAGTCAATATTGACTATAAGAAAGTGCGAGAACGGGATGGGGGACGAGGCTGCTGCAACATGTTCTGACTTCTGGGGAAAATGCAACGCGATGTTTCATTGAAATTTTTTTTGTTATTTGTAGGATGTTGCAGAATAGTTAGTTAGAATAAGTAAGGTGATGTTTGTTGCTTAGATTCAGCCTCGTTAGGCTTAGTTCTTGGCTAATTACAGGTGTGCTTTTATCAACACGGGAGGTAGAGATAGCCTAAGCTAATCTATCCCTTTGAGACGTATTTCTTGTCTTAATAAACATACTTGAACTTGATTTATCAACACATATGATGATCACACATATGTGTGATCATCCTGACTTGAGCTGCTATATCTGCACAATAAATGAAATAAAGTGATACATTTTTTATTTGTGGCGTGACGACACTAACTGCGTCTTAACTTCCTCTGTTTCTTACTTCCAGGTCAAAGTTTGGTTCCAAAATAAGCGATCCAAGTGCAAGAAGATGATGAAGGCGGTGCAATCCGGTGGGGCTCGAACCCCGCAGGGGACGCCGGTGGTGCCGAGTTCCCCACTCACCAACGCCCCTCTGTCGACCGCTGCCTCGCCGTACCAAACCTGTTCCACCCCTACACCAACCAGTCCAGCCAGTCAGTCCTTCGGCGAGCCCGGGGCCCTCTACCAGCCTCCAGGGCCCTCTTATTCCAAGGGGGCCGGTCCCCTTGCGCCTGCCATATCAGTCTCTCAGGCGGGTCCAGACGTCGATCACCACCAAGACTTCAGCCAACATATCAAGTCTGAAATGATGAACCCAACCGCACACTCCCCCAACACGGCCTCCCCTCATGGCCTGCCCCCGCCCCCCCACCCTGCGTCTGAGGGCGGTTCCCCTCTCTCATGTGTCTCACATCTACACTATTCCCCTCATTCAGAATCCCCGCAACCTCATTTCCCTTCAGTATTTTCTCATTCTCACCCTCATTCCCAACCATATTATTCTCATTTAAGTTCCCCTCTTTCTCACCCCCCACAGCACCCACACCCTGGCCACCTGCCCCCGCACGCCCACGGCCCACCCCAGCACCCGCCCACGCCCACCAGCCAGTCGCACGACAATCATGGGTCGCCCCACCTGTGTCCCCCAGGGCCGCCTTGTCCGCCCCAGCACCATATGAACCACCCACCCCACGGGGGATACATGCCGCCCACCTCCATAGCACCGCCCGTGTCCTCGGCTGACCACATGTCCTTGCCGCCCACCGCCTCGTCGCCAGGCCTGGCCGCCCACCACTGGGACATGAAGCCGCCCGTGTCGGCGCCCTACATGTACTCCTGGTACGCCCCGGACCAACAGCATCTCCTCACTTAAGTGACTCATCTTAATATGCTGGCAACCCGGGCCAGGGGCCACCATCAACTACAGGGCCAAGGGGGCCCTCAGCGGCCCACCTACGGCCCTCTGTGTGGCCCTCTGGTGGCCCGCGGCGTGACAGCCGGGACCAAAGATGAAAAAAGCAACCCAAGAGCGCATCCCAAAGATTTTGTGCAATATATTCGCCATATTGGCGACGATATGGAGAGCTTGGCAAAGTCTCAAGCCTCAAGGTTTGGCTTGAGTGGTGCACAAGGCATCGGACTACGACTTCAGATCCTTGCAGAGCCCAGCAGACCTGGGACGAGTAAAAAAACGCCATACGAGTCAACTTGTGTCAAGGGTGAAAGGAGAGAATTTGGTGCTGAAGTATCGTGGATCAGCTTGGGTGTCGAAAATGAGAGAGAGAGAGAGAGAGAGAGAGAGAGAGAGAGAGAGAGAGAGAGAAGAGAGAG